CTTTTTTTTTTGTTTCCTCAGTTTTGAGGAGGTGAAAAATACAGCCTTGAGAACGGTTTACTTCTCTGCAAGCTTGCCAGAACTGCCCTGTGGGACTGGAGTTTCTGCCTAGGAAACAACCTCTTTTTCCAGGCCTAACCCTGGCATGGTCTGCTACATTGTTTTAATAGGACATAAGGCAGCTGTACTACAGAAATCCTTCTTTAACTGAAACTGCAGATACTAGGATTCCTTTAAACTGTGCTGAACCCTTTTACAGATTAAAACCATCAGATCAGAGTTGAGGGTCTCAGTTTGTGTCCGGAGCTTAGCTCGCTTGTTAAATGCTGACTAAACCCCATGCCATAGAAAGCAGGACACCCTTCTGACCAACTCTTGCTCTTTCATTATCCCTTACAGCCATATTTTGCCTCTCTGCCACTTTCTTCTTCCCTCTGCCAGTGAGCAGTACCCATAGTTGCTGCTGGCTAGCCTTTCGTCACAGGAGCTGCAGGGGCTTGTTCAGCCTCCCAACAGTGAGGCTTAAATCTGGATCCTGACTGGGCCTAGGTAAAAGTTCTAGCTTGGATTTCTGGCCCTTTATAAAGCTATTTCTAACCAACTTGCTTCCCTCTACATTTTACTTTATCTGAATGATATCTCTAGAAGGGAATGTTAAGGCAATATTCCTTAGAGATTCAAAGAAATCACTAGCTAGCATTTTATAAATTACCTCAAAAATCAAAAATGATCCAAATGTAGTGGAAACCACTCTGGGAGAGCTACCTTTTTCTTTTTTTAATGTGTGCAATTGTTAAAAAGTGGGACAAAAAGTTCGGCATCACCCTTTGGAGTAGCAATAATTTGTAGTCGGCAGCATGTTACTGCTCACTGAATCATCATTCTTCTTACATAAAGCTTTGCATGGGCTGGTTCAGGTAGCCTAGAGACAAATTGACCTTTTGCAGTAGCGTATATTAGAAATATGGGTTTCATGTCTCAGATTCCTATTTCATTTTCTTCCTGAGGCTTAAAATTCAAGTTTGCTTATTTTTTTTATATTCAGTGCTCTGATCAAGTGATAACTATTTAAAGCATAACGACACAGAAAACAAGGGATAGAATTAACTGTTAACAATTTACATTAAACATTAGCATGCAAGCTATTCTAGGTGGGCCTGATTATGCTGCCAGTTGTAGCAGCTCCACAATAGTTAAGGCTGAGAACTGTATTATATTTAAAGGTCAACTACTTTAAAAGATACAGTTTTTCAGTTGCCAAAATGAAACTTGGCCCCAGAATTTTCCAAGCTAAATGCCTGCTTGAGGCAGATACTGGTTTTGAATATGTTATCCTAAATAGCTCAATGTTTTTCAGCGTGAGAGTAGGGAGAATGTTCTAGTTGGTTGGTTTTTTTTATGTGCTGGCCTGCGTTGGAGAAAGAAATTAATCTTTGGATGCACAATAAAGTCTTTGGAAACATGCTTATACATCTTATATAAATTCTGGCTAGAAATCTGCGGCTTCCCCAGGGGCTGTGTTCATAGTGAAAGTACCGCTGTGAAAGATGATCAGAACCTCGTCTGTGATTATAACTTTGCAATGCTGCAAGAAATACCTAGTCTAGCTGCAGGCACTTAAAGAAGCCTAGCAATCACTAAGCAATTGGGAAATGAAGCAATTAAAGTTGCCTGTGCAATGCCTTTCCTTTGATTAGATGCATTTCTGTACAGGAATATGATCCTAAACACTTTTTTTGTAGTAAGAACTCTGTCTCATTCGTTGCACAGCACTGTATATTAAGAGTTTCCTTTGCAAAACCTTGAAGATATTGGAAGATGGCTAGCAAATGGTATTGGTGACAGCAGGAAAATAAAGTATGATTTCTTGATTACGGTAGCTGAATTCTTCCCCAGAGAAAGGTTCTATCTTTCTAGGTGATGCTAAACAAATTACTTACACCTGGTTAATGAAAAATTTGTTATATTTCACTTTCAGAATGCCTTGATTTGAGACTTTCACTAATGTCACATTTGGGTTGTTGTATGACAGTTTCAAGGAAGGACAATGGAAGCTGTGCAGGGAGAATATTCACTACTGAATGATATTAAGTGCACCAGCAAATCAGAGGCTAAAACCATGAAATGCATTAGATTCCTGGATGCTATCTAACTGTCCATTCTTGCCCTTTGCTTAGTTAAGTGCATTTGCCACAGGACTGTCCTAACCACAGGATTTTAGGGTGTACTGTATCTCTCAGTCTCTATTCCTTGTGCTGCCTTCTTAAATGTTTAAGATGTTTTGTTCATTCATAAGTGGGAATAGGTATTTAATTAGGTTAGTATTTCTTTATTTTGGAAACCCACTTAAATGATTCGCTCTGAACTGTGTTGGCCCGTTCTTTCACTGCTTAGTTTGTTAATTTTGGAAGGACTTTTTTCATAGTTAGTTTTTTGTTCCTGCCTAATAAAGGGTCACTGGAGACTGAATATAACTTCAAACAATTTAAAGAACAGAAGAAATATGTATCTGAAGATCCCTTAAGAGAAAGTTAGTGAGCATATGGGCCCACTGAGGACTGGTAGAATTGTGGTAGGAAAGTTATTTTCTCTTTCCAAGGCTCCTCGTTTGAGAGGCTTGGTTGTGCATAAAGGCAGCAGTGAAGACGCTTAACTAAGAGGCTGCAGCTGGCACGAGGCCAAGTTGTTGACTGAGGAAGGTCCACCGAAGTCAGCAGAGCTATATTAGCTAACACTCTGCACCCACACCTGTGCTATTGCTTGTCAGTTGACTTGGCTCTCCTAAAGGACTGGAGGTTTGGAGACAAAAGAGGTACCTGTTGTACCTATGTTCCTCATGATTTCTTAGTACCTGCTTAAGTGCCTTCCCAAGCTACTAGTAAATGTGTGCACCAACCACCTATGAGAAAAATGTTACAGGACAAACACGTCCTTTCAGTATGTTTCTTTGTGTCACAAGGTATCAAGGTATTTCACGACTGTTTAATTCATCAAGAAAGCAAACAAACAAATATGCCCCAGAAACTATAATGATATGTCAGTGCTGATTGTTAGCAGAGATGCTAGGAGGTGTATGCGCACCTCTTTGGTGCACTGTTCATACAAAATACCCAAATACCTGAAAGACCATTGCTCTTAGTTTCCACAGGAATCTCTCCAGTTATTAACATGGCATATGAATTCTACAAAATTGCTTTTTTCCAAGTCTTGCATTTTATCTGAGCACACTCTGTTTAGATTACAGCAAAGATCCAGCTCAAAATGGTGGAACAAAAAAGTAGTAAAATACTGATTTAAGGCCTTTGTTCTTGGACCACAAACTTTTTTTTTAGTTGATTAAATTAATTAAAAGCACTAAAGAGTGCTTCATCCCGCATAAACACAAAACATCAGTATAGAGCTAGAGCTGCTAAGTGCCTAAGCATCTAAACAGCAGTTAAGTGTCTAATTCTGTGTGTAGATCTGAGTCAGAATTTCTTGGCTTGGAGCTTCTTTGCACTTGGAAAACCTAACCTTCTTTTACTGCAAAGTAGTTAGGTCTTATAATAACTGTTTTACTGTGGGAAAACCAAAGGGGAGTATCTTTTCTTTAAAGGATGACTTCCCTAGGGCTCTCTAAAAGTGACATGTATCATCACCCTGTAAGATGGGGACCACATACCCTGGCTGGAAATGTCTTTCTAAAGCCATGATATTGTACCACCCACTTTGCCAAAACCATCAGTCTCAGACAGGAAAAAGATAGCACTTGTGACAGCTCTTATTATTCAGTCTCCTAGGGTAATGCCATTTCTAGTACTAACTCTTAAAACATGACCTTTATCCAACTCTGTCCAGAAGACAGACACTACTGTTTCAATAGATTGTTAAAGATCTTTCTCTGAACTGAAAAATAGAGTGAAATATCTGGTTTTTAAAAGGGGAATAAGAACTGAGAGTAAACAAGGTAATTCCTCCCTGTTGTATAACCTTAATTCTTGAAGGCCAAGAAGTGTGTTGTTCATTTAAATGATACTCATTTTGCCATCATATTAGTTCCACATGAAAATTTTAAACCTGGGAACAAGTTTTTCCAGGAGTGGTGAACATGCTAATCTGAGCTCATAAATAAAGCATGTACTATAACCAGGACAGAACGTGGACTGGAAAGGTGAGGATGGAGAATATGGTAGTAAGAGCTGAATATGCATCCAAATGAACAGACTAGCATCTGAGATCTTTTTACTGCCATCCACTCTCAAAATATAGATACACAGAGATGATCTGTGACATCTCCTCACTGCTCCCAGGAAGGTACAGGATATATCTAATTTGAGAGGGAAGAATGCACTGTGCCACTTTTCTCCAAAGAGAAGAGGAATCACATTCTGTGGCACACTAAAACGTCTTAGATTGTCTTAATCTGATCATGGAGCAACAAAGTAGAGACCTCTTCCAAAATTTAAAAGCCTTAACAGAACAACTTAGTTTCAAGTCCATTTCTGTTTTGCTGAGTGATATGTAAGAGACTTACACATACAGCTGTATTCAATCTTATTTTACCGCTTTAGTCTCTGTGCTTGCAGAGGGTTTTCTTAGGCATGCCAGTTTTTTTGTTTTTGTTTGTTTGTCTCTTTGTTTTTTGTAACCTATGTACCTGGCAGCCTCTGCTTTGCAATGATCAAGTGCCCCAATATGGTCATTAAATAAAGCAGAGGCTGATGAAGAAAAAAGCACTGGGCTTCACAGCTTCTTGCTGAAATACAACTGTCAGAATTTTTGTGGTTGGTAAAGCTAAACCCGATGGAAGACTTCCTAAATTAACTTATTTCAGGATTTTTCCTAACTGTGATTCTAGTTCTCTTTGGGAGTTTTGGGGAGCAGGAGTGAAAAATCACTGGTTGCAGCTATCCAGGTTCAATGCTGATACATACAAATAGTCCTTTTATTGCTTCTTGTGACTCTAAGGCTATTGTGTGCTGCAGGTGCTTATATTTGCCCCATTTTTTTTTCTCTCACAGGTGTTACCTGAGTCAAAAGGACATATCACATGCTAAAGGCAGAATCCTTCTGACAGCATGATCATCACCGTCCTCTGAGTGCTGCAGAGTAGCTATGCCATGCATTAAATAGATGATTGGATCTTTCTAATGCCAATGCATCTTTATGGGTGAGGGTTATTTGTATTTATAGCATCCATAAAGCAATTTATAGTCCTGCTGCTGCCTTTTATTTTGTGCTTCTGAGCAGAAAGAGTGGACTGCAATGACTTAAAATGCAACTCCGGGGTGCTTCAAAGGTTGAAAGGCTTTCTGGGTCAAAGGCAGTGAATGTGAACAGCAGTAATAACTACTCTTTGTTGTTACCTTGCACTTAGAGTTTTGCCTTTGGGCTTCTGATCTCCTTGGGGAGTGCAAATGTTAAGTATGCCTTGCAGCAGGCATGCCTGCTAAGTCTGCAAATCAGGAAATGCAGGTGCTGAGGTGAAAGGCTATATCCTCTACAAGATCATGGTGCTTAAAGCAGAACCAAGCAGAACTGAAGTCCCTCAGTCTGAAAGTGCTACTCAAATAGCTCTGTCTTAATCTTTCCAAACCTAGAGTGTTTATGCAAAACCAATGTTGGGGCCTAGTGATTAGTCAAACTGGGGAATATTGGTTTCTGATCCTGGTGTTAAGCATTGTTCCCGTTTTATGTTAGGTGTTACTGAATGATTTGAAGCAAACTAACCTTCTCTTTCAGGTATCTAAATGAAATGCAAGACTCCCACCTCCTGAGTGAGTGCACAGTCTCTGGACTATAAAGTCTTGTAGCTGCTTATATTCTGACCCTTGCATTTAATAGCTGCAATGTGAAAGTGTAAACACCACCAGCTACTAAAGCTAACCTGCCATCTAACATGGAGGTGCTTCTCTAGGAGGTGAGAGAAGTGATCTCGACTCCCTAAAGCTTCTAAGTATGCAGAACCTTCTGCTTTTTGGGAAAATGATCCTTTGTACCTACTCAGGAGAGAAGGTATGTTCGCTTCAGATTTAAATTAATTCTATAATTTAGTTCTTCTGCTGGCTTGCTCTAGGTAGGTCACTGCTGAGTATGCTAAATGTTTTCGTTAACATTTGCAGGGATGTATTTCTCATCAGATGTGAAGAATGCGATGCTGGAGAGTTGTGGTGTTCACACAGAGCTCTGGATTCTTTCCAGAAGGTGCAGTCTAAAGGTTACATGTTGCAATACACACTGGATAACTCTCTGAATTCCCTCAGTGGCAGGACTGGGACTAGAATCCAGGATTTCTCCCTTTTTGCTAGTAAATGATATCTTCTATAATTTGAGGAGAAGGAACTGAAATGGGAGACTAGAGAGCTCATTTGTTACCAATGGCAACTCAAGGTCCTGAATCCTCCTCTGCTTTTATTTGGAATTGCTTTGTATATCTATAAACTGTGCATATGTGTCAGAAATTTAATATGCTTTGATTCCTCCCTCCCCTCTCCTTCCTCCTCTTTGCTTTTAGGGCAGCAGTCCCAGTAGCAAGCCATTCCAGGAAATGCCACAGTATCCTTTTTGTCTGTTCCACACAAAGGGCAATAGCTTGTCACCACACCTGCAGCTGTCCCTTTAAAAGGACTTGCAGGTGATGTCAGTTTTGCCATTTTTTCTAGTCCTGTGCTTTGCTTGGTTCTGTTTCTCGCTCATTCACAAGCGACATTGCTGCCTGCTGCCCCAACATCTCCCTGACTAAGTTTAGCCACTGACTACTAAAAGTGCTGGTAGCAGTGGGGAAATGGTGAAATTGCTCAAGCAGCTGAGGTGGGTATTCGGGAGGGACATATCTGATTACTGGTTACCAGTGTCTGTGGATGTCTGAGAATGACAACCTAAATTAGTCTAATTCTATGGTAAGAGTTTATTCAGACATGATTTGGATGAGAGAAGATGGGTTAGGAAATTCATAATCTTGGCCTGACAATAAAACAAGACGCCATTGTGTAATGATATGGAAACATAGCAAATTCGGGTCTGAAATAAAGAAATACTTTTCACAACAAAGTCATCAAAATGTGGAAGCGTTGAGGTGAAGCAGTAAAGGCAAAATTTAGAGATGCAAATTTTTCTTGTGGCCAAAAAAATTTAGTGAGCTTTAGACGAGATGGAATATATTTTATAACTAAATATTCTTGCCAATTATATAATAGTTAATGCTAACATGCATTTTTGGAAGAGCTATTAAGCCATCTTCTTTAAGTGCTGCGAGAATCTTTAATTGCTAGGGATCAGAAGACACCTCATGTGGAGAGAAAGTTATCCTCTGCTTTTATAATGTCAGGTTGTTCATGCAGTCTTCTGAAATATATGGTGCTGGCCACTGTTAGAGAGAGGGAAGCTGGATTAAATGAGTGAGAGGCTGATTAAGGTTAATTCTTTGGGTTTCTTGACAAGTAAACGGCGTGGATTTTAGGTGCTTCTTTTTTTAATATTAGGTATCAAAATGATCATTGGTCTTGCTGTTAATCCGTTCACTGTCCTCAGATGAAAAACATACCACTCTTGCAGTATGTCATTCATAGTTCTTTTTCCTCAAAATGCTAGGATGTATTCTGTAAAATAAGCAGGTATCCTGGAGGAGTGTGTAAATGCAAACACACTGGAGGAAGAGAATACACAGTTTTATTAAAAAGATATGTTTGAAGTCTCTGATCTCATGACATTTCTCAGATTGATCGCTGTAGCTACTCAAATTTCCTTTGGGGCAGAAGCGATCAGTGGTCAAAAGCAGTTACAGCTAAGGTCCCTCATATTGTTAGGATTTTGGGGATGGGACATTTACTTTAGAATCAGTATTAAATTTGAGTATTAAACAGTTGCACATCTTTACTGCATGGATGGTTTGAAATTTAAGAGAAGCTATCACATAGACCTCTGTTTCAACTGTGACAGGACTCTCTAAGGAGCAGTAGGCTGTTCTTTTTCTGCCTCGTGCTGGTAATATAAACATATCTACAGCCACGGCACCTAAGGCACCCATACTTGGGTTGTATGTGGAAGAAACTCTTCCTGCACTTGGGATCTGCAAGGTTGGTACCTGCTCTGTGGCCACATTCTAAATTAATATCTAAATTTGTACTGCAAACGTTGCATTGTGCTAATGACAGACCTGGTTATAAAACTGCAATACTGGCAAGGTACCTTGCATAAACTGATGCTCATCCTACTCCTCAATCAGTGGAAGAAAGGAAGATCCAGAAATGTTTTGGGGACCTCTTGCGATTATCCTTGCTATTAATAGTTTAATAGGAGAAAACTGAGAGAACCGTACTAGTCGTGGACTACAGGGTGATCAGAAATGGGTGCTCAACTTTTGGATATGGAGAGGCTGCTTTCAAGGCTCTATGAGAGGAGCTGATGCCCTGTCTTTCCTTTCCTTGCAGGATGCTTGCGAAACCAAACTATTTAAGAGTGACTCTTACCCTAGGGAGCCTTCCTTGCTCCCTGGCACCTTTAATCTCTACAGTCATGAGCCACTTTGAAATGGGAAACTCCAGCAAAGGCAAAGTCATATCTGAGGGCTTGGAGACCATCCTCCATTCAGTTCCCTCTTGCCTGGACGTAACACTATTGAAATCTTGTAAGCTTTTGCCCTCCACAAGTTCTAAAACTGTAGGGTCGTTAAGAGGATCTATATTCCCATTTGGAGCCCAGCCAAGGGTCCTTAGGCCTTGCCACTAATGTTGTTATATGTTGCCATGCCAGGCTGTATGAGGGAGATTTATAGACATTTTGGCTCACTGGACAATTGTATTATCATTAGAAAATTATATTTTCTGGAGCTCAGGCCTGGAAAACCTTGAGGACGTATGCATAATCTGCTGGCAAAGGGACAGGATCATTCAAGATATTTGACTCTGCCTTGATCCTAGGAGATCAAGGGGTCTAACCCCTGCACCAGGGGGTCTGATACCTTCTGACAGTGGTGGTGTGTAAGTGTTCACATACAGGCTGGAAATAACGTGTGGTTGATGGTGTGTACATAGCTGATAGCAGACTCTTGCAATAATCTGAATGTGTATGTTCTCCAAACACTCCAAATAGTTGAAACCTATTATAAAGGTTGAATCAACACAAAAGTAACTGGAAATCATCTGGAAATTTACAGAAAAGAATTGTCATTGCTTTGAGTCAAATTGCTAATATAGACATATCCTTTTAATATTATTCTACACCAGTGTAGCTCAGAAAGAACTCTGATCCTTCTTGCAAATAGTTTCAGGTCCTATAGAAATTATTTCCATATGAAGCTTAATGTCCAGCAGCTTAATCTTCTGCCTTGAATTCTCACAAGTCATTTTGAGGTTTATTGTGGATCGGAAGCGCTACAGTTAAGCTAATGGAGGAGTTTCCACTGGCTTCAGTGGAGTGATTCTGCCAGTCATACGAATGAGGTGGTAGTCTTCAGTTGTATTTTGATTTTTTTGTTTAGTTTTGTTTTTCCTTTCCTTTCCAATAAGCAGATGAAAAGTATAGGTAAAACTGCTAAGGTGCAGCTGCTAGGATAGGGATGAATTTGGAAAGATGATGGCATGGGTTCTTAAAAGTATACATGTAAAATAAATGGCCAACCCTACTTTGTATGTGTGTAGGTGGCTTGAAGAGAACTTGTGAAAGATGGGAAGGAAGGCTGAGGAAAGCTAGTGAATGGCATTTTACAAACCACTAAAAGACTGTGTAATGGGTTAGCAGTAGCCTCTCAAGTTTTGCTTATTTAACGTTAGCTAAAATGGTACTGTGTATCCAAAAACAGACAGAGTAGTACCTGTTGCCAAGAGGTTCTCATTTTGGAATCAGTCATGTACCCAGAGGAAAATTTATCAACGGAAAATTAAATATTAGAAAAGAAAAAAATCTTATTAATTAAAAATTAAAAGAAAATTACTTTACAACATCTATTTTGCTCCACATGGCAGTACTAATCCAGTCACCAAGCAATGTAACTGATTCACAGTCCAGTTTATTTTGTGAACTGTATGAAAAACTGCTGCAACAGTGATGCGAAAACTTTAAAACTGCTAGAATGAATGAAGTCTATCAAATGTCCAAAAAAAAAATCATAAACTTTAAGATTAGTAGGACTGGCGTACTATTTTCAGCCCGTAGTCAGGGACATTTCATTTCAGAAAACACTCTTATGTATTGTCTGAGGAAGTATTACCTCCTTTGAAATGCAGTGAGCTATTTTGCCATAACTTTTTTCTCCTTCTTTTATTGTGAGCAGGCAGCAAAGCAGACATTTGTATCTGCTGCCTGTGTGTAGTACAGCTAATTTTTCAATTTGCATAAATAAGTTACCTGCCAAAACTGATTACTTCTCTTCAAATTCTAAATTCATTATTTCTCCTTTTCCTCCCCCACATCTGTCTTGGTTTAATTATTTTTGCATCAGTTGTCATTTTAGGAGCAAATTTGGTCTAAAGAGTGACGCTTGTATATATCTTACTATTTTAGATCAACTAATTAAGATTACTAGTTTTGTCTAGGTATCTGGAGGCAGACATGGAAAGGGTGATCATATACTGATGCTTTTGATTTGATGGATAAGTTGTTGGGATCCAACATTAGCTAGTAAAAAAATCCAACAGAAAAACTTAAACCAGGATTTACAAAATTGGTGAGGTGATTTTCAGAAATGATCATGAGAATTAGCCTCCTAAATTCCATTTCAGTCTGTGGGACCTGTCCTTTGTAATCTCTGGTGAGTAATCAGTCCATGAAGGAGTTGTTCAGAACTGAGTTGACTGGCACTGTTGGTCAGTGATTCAAAATGTAGGTCATCAGAAATATCAGTGAACTTCTGCCTAATCTTGAACGTGTCTAACTCTGCATAGATATCTTCAAAGGTTTTTTTATTTAATAGAACTCCTCACTTCAAGAAGTCATTTGAACTGCTCCTCTCCTGGAGAGGAAGGGCCAGACTTGCGTGACCTAGCCTAGATATTAGTGACAGCCATTTTCTACAGATGTATTCTAAAGCTATGGGATTGTCCTGGGCTGTTGTCCCAGGAGATATTAGCAGACATTGCAGGAAACATTCAAACTATTCTCTCAAAACTCCCATCCATCTGCTTTCCTTGCACTTCACTCCCACCTCACTTCATCATCCAAACTCCTCCTCTCCAGCAGCGCTCTCAGGCTGAGAGAAATACTTCCTGTGTTAGACTGTTTGGTCTTTTGTCACCGAGACATACTTCATTTGGTGCTGGCAGGTGGACTTCATTTTGTGTGTTGTCATTTACCACACAATCTTCAATATATTCCTCATATTTGATCTCCAGTAAAGCTCTCCTGTTCTCACTCTGCTTCACTGAGATAGGTGCTTTTTACCATCACGACTGCAG